GAATGAATACTAATGCTTCTGGTGGCCTTCCAGGCCTCAGAGAGGAGATGAGGAAATAAGAGAGAAACCACAAGTTTGTCCCTGGGGGGGGGGGCAGTTTAAATACCCTGTGGGAGTGGTCTTGAGCATTTCTGGGGAGGGGTCACCCTTAGACAGGCTTTCTCTGAGGTGAATTCTATACAGAGGCAATGCCCAGAGGAAGGGATTTGAGAACTTTCCACTCAAACATTCCAGACTTTTTGTGTATTTGGATGCCAGGGGCGGAGGTGTTGCCTTAACCCAAACACACTATAGAAGAGAAATTGCCGCGTATGATGCAATGATAAACGGTACGATCATCTGAAAACCTTAAATTGCTGTGTTATGTCTGCATGTGGGCTAAAGAGGTTTTAAGGGGGTCAGGCACGGTGGCACAAAGCTCTTCTTGCCATCACTATGTAGACAGACAGTGTCTGGGGTGGGGGTGGGGTCTTGTGGGAGGAATGCAGAGAGGCAGAGAAGAACAGAGAGGGAGAGATTTTAAAGGGACATAGAGAGGGCTTGCAGGCAAGGGCTTGCTGTCAGGATTGATCATCCAAGAGCTTGATCCACGGAGCAGGCACAGCAGAAAGAGATCCGACTGCTGCAAACTGTCCGCTGGCCTCCACACGCGAGTCATGGCACACACACACCTGTCCCTCCCCCACAAACACAACACAGAAAAGACTGCTTACTTATTTTGTGTATGTGTTTTTATGCCTGATTGTATGTGTGTGCTCGATACACATGCAGGAGCCTGAGGAGGCCGAGAGAGGGCAGAGTGGATCCCCTGGACCAGGAACACAGACTGGGGTCACCCCAAATACCATGTCCAGACTTAGTGTCAGTCTCATGGTGTTTCTGTAGAAGGAACAGAGAAATCCATACATCAAGAGCCTTGTAAAATGCAGTGGTGGAGACATGAGGTAGGCAGGTTCGAGGGTAGCTGGAGACCTCTGCTGTAGGGCTGGCTACCCTTGCTGCCTGGCTTCTCTGACTTCCTATTGGCAGAAGTTAGGGGTCTGCGGGTACATAAACCAGCGACAAGGCTTTTAGTGCACGGCTGTGAGCAGCCATTGGCTATTTGTGGGTTAGAGAAAATTCAAGATGATTTGTCTCTGGTCCTGAAACACTCCATCCAGCTCTCAGCAAGGAAGAAAATCCATCAGGCCAAAGGGACAAATGGGATGGGTGTGATGGCACCCTTAGGCGCCGGTTGTGGGCGTGGTATATGCAAATGAGGGTCGCGCAGGGATGCTGCATCCACAGGCTTTGCGGAAAGGCTAGGGATTTCCAGTGCAGCATGGAATGGAGCGGTGATTCGCGGGTGGCAGCGGGGCGCAGGAATCAGGTGCGCGTCCAGGGACGTCCCGAAGTCTGCGCGGTCAAGTGATCATGTATTCAAACACAGTGCCGGTGGGGCTGAGTCATGGCTACGGGAAGTAAAGCACACTCACCCAGCTAAGTGAGCACTGTCAACAGGGCTTTGGTTTATTCAGGCGAGGGTGACCGAATTGCACTAGTTTTGTTCTGGCCCCTGTGATTTCCCCAAATTCGGGAAACTCGATTGCATAATTTTTATTAATTTGCGACTGCGTTTGTCGTCTCGGCTTGTGCCATTTCCTCATATTTGATAACATCCGTTCCTTTCTTTTTCTTTCTTATATGTTTCTTTTTCTGTCTTCCTTTTTAAAAAATAAAAAAGTCTGTATTTTTGCCCATCCTTGTTAAGAAAACAAAAACATCGGCCTTAGAATTGGCATCTTTAGGAAATTATGTCCTGGGTTAGTGAGAACAACCCTTCAGGTCTGGAGTTTTTGTCTTAAAGTTCAGGAGCACTTGTAGGAAACTATGTCCCAAATGTTGGCTTGAGACTCCAGACTTTCCTTAATTCTTTCCTGCACTTAACATGCACCAGACGCGGGCTCGGGACCAGCACATCCCTAGCTGAAAGACAGAAGCCTCTGGTAGAAAGCCTTTGTTCTGATTCATTCGAAACAAAACAAAACACCCCTCATCATTTTGTTATCTTCCTAACATAAATCGGCTTCCAACTGCATCAGCTCAGTTCAAAGAAATCTCTAGGATATGCCCTGGGGCTCCCCTGGGCCCCACCTCCTCTGGTCCCCGCGGTTCATAGCCCCCAATCACACCCCAGGCCACCCTGGGTGGTTCCTCTCCACTCCGGGTCAAGTTCGTCCATCTCCATCCCGTCCGAACTCCCTGAGCACTGGCACCGCACTCGCCACCTTTCCCACACGTGTCCCGCTGAGGTTCCAGCACACACCTGGGGTCTCAAAGGACCGGACCCTAAAGCGGACTTGGGCTCCTTCCCGGAGTCCGGCCGGGCGCCGGGAACGCGCGTCTGCCAGAGTGGAGTCCACGGAGGCCACGAACTCCGGGTGACGGCCAGGTCTCAGCGTCCTCGAGTATCCAGGTTAAAAACTTTCGCGGGAGCTGGGGAAGATTTGGCGGGACACTCGGGACGCAGGGCCTTTGGCTTTGACGCCTCCTGCTCCGGATGCTCCGCCATGGACCTTTGGATATTCCTGAATCACCAAGGTGACCTGTCAGAGGTCTGTGCAAAGTCTCTGTGGCTCAATTGGTTAGTGCGTTGGGCTGTTAACCGAAAGGGCGGGTGGTTCAAGCTCACCCAGGGACGATAGCCTTTAGGCTTTTAACAAACAACTTTCCATACTTACAGCCATTTGTGTGCTGACTTGCCAACTGGAGAGTGCACACTGATACATTCTCAGAATTTACAAACCACGAAAAACCTTAGCTCCTGTATTTAAGGCATTCATTACCTTGCCTGTCACATGCTGTCTGGTAGGGAAATCAGCAAAGTCAATTTGTATACTTTTTTGATGGAAAGATGTGCGGTTGGGAGGGGGACACCTGTGTACAACAACCTCCTATTGTCTTTGGTTTACTTGGGGGTTGGATACTGTGAGAATCCTTTCTTATTAAAGGAAAATTATGAATAGCAAGTCACCAAAGCGCAGGAAACAGACCAGGTTTTAATAAAACGGGTAAATATTGCACCACTAAGTTGAACTGGAAAATACACTGTGCTGACTAGAATAAAACAGCATACCTTTCCAATAGTCCAAAAATATTATTTTGGAAGTATATCAATGTCTGAGTCAGATATTCCTGGCCTTAATTAGACACCAGGTAAATGTGAGCACCTGTAAAACTCTATGTCTGCCCTCTAGTGGAGCCCACACAACACTGCAGGGAAGGCTCTGATTATCCCTATAGCCCAGAACGTGCATTTTTATTTTAAAAAAAGTTTTATTTTCTAAATAAATTGAACCTATTTGTGTATCTTCACTAGCAGCTGGGGCGTCCCCGCCCTTTGTGTTTCTCGTGGAAATTACTTGGACTCTGTGCTCTGAAACCAGCTTGATGAGCCCTCTACTAAGCAGCTCCTGAAGGGCTGCCCTGGCCAAGGAACCCTGAACCTTGAGTCTCTCAGGGACCACAGCTGGAGTAATAAGCTTACAGTTAGGAACGTCCTTACAGCGTTTGTTATATGGAGCCTTGTCAAACAGGACTAGATTGTTGAGCCTGCCCTGAACTTTGCCTTTGGACCACTTCTTCCCTTTGGCCTTGCCACCAGACTTATTTACTGGGCCTGTGTCCTTTTGGGCCGACTTTCAGTCATCTTTCTTCTTGTTGTCACCCTTGGGCGGCATGATGGAGCTCGGAGAGTGGAAAGGACACTGCAGCCTCCCTAAGATGTCGGGAAAAAGTCAGAGGTAGACAAGAGAAATATTTCTTATTTCTCTTATTATGACTTATTTTGTCATCCCACAAAGAAACAAAGAACACTTTTTATTTTGCTCTTCACACACACCCTGCTTTTTACCTGGTATTTGTTAAGAAAATTGGTATTGGAAGAATTCCAGCTCAAAAGGCTCAGAAAATATATTCAACAAAATTATAGAAGAAAACTTTCCCAACCTAAAGAAGGATATTCTTATGAAGGTACAAAAAGCTTACAGAACACCAAATATACTGGATCAAAAAACAAAAAACAAAAAAATATCCCCTCACCATAAAATAATCAAAACACAAAACATACAGAATAAAGAAAGAATATTAAGAGCTGCAAAGGAAAAAGGTCAAGTAACATATAAAGGCAAACCTAGCAAAATTACACCTGACTTCTCTATGGAGAACTTGAAGACCAGAGTGTCCTGGATAGATGTGCTGCAGACACTAAGAGACCATGGATGCAAGCCCAGACTACTATACCAAGGTCAGCTTTCTTTAACCATCATTGGAGAAATCAATCTATTTCAGGACAAAAACAGGTTTAAGCAATACGTATCCACAAACCCAGCCTTACAGAAAGTACTAGAAGGTAAACCTCAACACAAGGAAGCCAACAATACCCACTATATCACAGACATCTGATAACCCTCCACCAAAACAACTCAAAGAAAGGAAACACACAAACACTACCACCAAAATAAATAAACAAACAAATAAATAAATAACCTGGTTAACAACCACTGGTCATTAATATCACCTAATATCAATGAAATCAATCACCTATAAAAAGGCACAGGTTAACAGAATGGATACAAAAACAGGATCCAACATTCTGCTGTTTACAAGAAACACAACTCAACCTCAAAGACAGACACTACCTCAGAGTAAAAGGCTGGGAAAAGGTTTTCCAATCAAACAGAACTAAGAAACAAGAGGTTGTGGTTGTCCTAATATCTAACAAAATTAATTTCAAACTAAAATCAATCAGAAGAGATGAAGAAGGACACTTTAAACTCATAACAAGAACAATTCATGAAGTCTCAATCCTGAATATCTATGCCCCTCATATAAAAGCACCCACATATGCAAAAGAACTAGAACTCAAATCACACATCAAACCCCACACACTAATAGTAGGAGATGGACAGGTCAACCAGACAGAAACTTAACAGAGAAATAAGAGAACTAATAGGGCAGCGCGGGAAGGACAGCGAGTGGCTGCAATGGCTGACGAGATTGCCAAGGCTCAAGTGGCCAAGCCCGGCGGCGACAAGATCTTCGGCAAGATCATCCGCAAAGAAATCCCCGCCAAGATCATCTTCGAGGACGACCAGTGTCTTGCATTTCATGACATTTCCCCTCAAGCACCAACACATTTCCTGGTGATACCCAAGAAGCATATAGCCCAGATTTCTGTAGCCGAAGATGACGACGAAAGTCTTCTAGGACATTTAATTATTGTTGGCAAGAAATGTGCTGAGGACCTGGGCCTGAACCGGGGCTATCGGATGGTGGTGAATGAAGGTGCAGACAGGGGACAGTCTGTCTACCATATTCATCCCCATGTTCTCGGGGGTCGGAAGATGAATTGGCCTCCTGGCTAAGCAGGTTGGGGCTAATTTTCCCTTCTCTAGGTAGTGACTCAGTTGTCAAGCTCCAGTATGTTAAATGGCACACATAGTTTTGCCTGTGTATGGAGAAATTGAAGAGATCATTTAAAATCCTGTGCCTAATAAAAGACAATTGTTGCAAAAAAAAAAAGAGAGAGAGAGAGAGAGAGAGAGAGAGAGAGAACTAATAGATGTAATGAACCAAATGGTGCTGGAATAAATGGATTTCAACTTGTTGTAGAATGAAAATAGATCCATACCTATCCCCATGCACAAAACTCAAGTAAGTCCAAATGGATTAAAGACCTAAATATAAATCAGACCACACTGAACCTGATAGAAGAGAAAATGGGAAGTAGTCTGCAATACGTGGGCACAGGACACCACCTTCTACATATAACCCCAGTAGCACAGTCAATAAGAGCAACAACGAATAAATGGGACCTCCTAAAACTGAGAAGCTTCTATAAAGCAAAGGACACTGTCATTAAGACAAAAAGGCAACCTACCAAATGGGAGAAGATCTTCACCAACCCCACATCAGACAAAGGTCTGATCGCCAAAATATATAAAGAACTCAAGAAACTAGACATTACAATTCTAAATAATCCAATTACTGAAGTGAACGGAGAATTCTCAACAGAAGAATTTCAAATGGCCACAAGATTCTTAAGGACATGTTCAACTTCCTTAACTCAGGGAAATGCAAATCAAAACAACTTACACCTGTCAGAATGGCTAAAATAAAAAACACCAATGATAGCCTGTGCTAGAGAGGATGTGGAGTAAGGAGAACACTCCTCCATTGCTGGTGGGAATGCAAACTTGTGCAACCACTTTGGAAAGCAGTGTGGCGCATTTTCAGAAAGTTGGGAGTCAACCTACCTCAGGATACAGCAATACCTCTCTTGGGAATATATACCCAAGAGATGCCCAATCATACTACAAAAGCATTTGTTCAACTATATTTATAGCAGCATTAATTGTAATAGCCAGAACCTGGAAACAACCTACATGCCCCTCAATGGAATAATGGATTCAGAAAGTGTGGCACATATACACATTAGAGTACTACTCAGTGGTAAAAAATAAAATAAAATAAAATGATATCTTAAATTTTGCATGCAAATGGATGGAAATAGAAAACACTATCCTGAGAGAGAATACCCAGACCCAATAATATGAATATGGTATGTACTCACTCACTATAGAATTCTAGCCATAAACAAAGGACATAGAGCCTATAGTTCACGACCCTAGAGAAGCTAAGTAATAAGGTGAACCTATAGAAAAACATATATAGATCCTTCTGGAAATTGGTATCAGAGAAGACGCCAGACAGAAGTTGGGAGCGTGGGGATGGGGGTGGGTGGGGGAAGGGGAGAGGGAGAAATGGGGAGAGAGAAAGGAGAAGGGGAGGGTTGTGGAGAGCTTGGAGGAGGGGGAGGGTTGAGATGTAGGAAGGATGGATATGTGAGCAGGGAAGGAGATATCTTAATTGAGGGAGCCATTTAGGAGTTGGCAAGATGCTCTGGAGAGGTCCCCAGGAGTCCACAGGGATGACCCCAGCTAGGACCCTGGGCAGTGCAGAAGAGGGTGCCTGAACTGGCCTTGTCCTGTAGGCAGACTGATGACTATCTTAATATCACCATAGAACCTTCGTCCAGAGACCGATGGAGATAGATAGAGACAGAGACCCACATCAGAGCACTGGACTGAGCTCTTAATGTCCAGTTGAAGAGTGGAAGGAGGGAGAATATGAGCAAGGAAGTCAGGACCACAAGGGGTTGGCCTTCCACTGAGACAGTGTGCTAATGGGAGCTCACTAAATCCAGCTGGACTGGGACTGAACGAGCATGGGAACAAACTGGCCCCTCTGAATGTGGCTGACAAATGGTCAGAATGAGAAGCCAATGATAATGGCACTGGGATTTGCCTCTACTGCATGGACTGGCTTTTTGGGATCCTATTCTATTTGGATGCACACCTTCCTAAGCCTGGATGGAGGGAGGAGGGCCTTGGACTTCCCACAGGGCAGAGTGCCTTACCCTCTCTTAGAACTGGAGGGGTAGATGAGAAGGGAGTGAAAATTTTGATTGGTATTATTTATAAAGTAATAAAAAAGAAAGTTGTTACTAGGAAATAATGAAAACAAAAAGAAAATAGGTATTGGCTTTCAGAAATTATTCCTTAGGAAATTAGGTACTGTGTTAATGAGAAAACTCTGAAAGACTTGAAATTTGGAATTTTCTGCCTGAAAGCCAGAGTACTTTTTGGCAACTGTCAAAATCTAGGTTGCTACTGCACTCCAGACTTTTTACCCCCTTGGTTCCTGTACTTAACATGCACCAGACCCTGACTCGGGAACAGCACATCCCTTCTCAAAGCATGTTTTAAATTCAGTATTCACTAAATGAATTGAATGAATTGATACAGTTGTTAGACAACAATTCTTCTCCCTACCCCCCCCCCCCCCCCCTTTTTTTTTTTGGTTGAGGCTGGCTCACTTGTTGCCTCTGACTTCGTGTTGATTGAAGATAGGGGTTTGTCGCTACACAGGGAAACCAGCGACAGGGCTGTTAGGCCACGGCGGTGAGCAGCCATCGACTATTTGGAAATTTGAGATAATTCAAGATGATTTGTCTCTGATCCTGCAACACTCCATCCAGCTCTCCTCAAGCAAGAAAGTCACCAAGCAAAGGGATAATGAGGATGCCTGTGACGTCACCCCTGAGTGCTGGTTGGAGGCGTGGTCTATGCAGATGTGGAGCACGGAGGAACCGTGGCATCAGCACCATTTGAAGAAACACGCTGGATTTCCAGCGTGGCGTGGAAGGGTGAGCTGGTCCGCGGGGAGCATCGAGTCGAAGGAATGGGGTGCACGTCCAATAAGGTCCTGGAGTTTGTGCAGCGAAGTGACCGTGTGTTCAGAGTGGAGAGCCGGTTGTGCTGAGTCTGGGCTGCAGGACCACAAAACACAGTTACCTGGCAGGGGAGATACCTTGACCATGTAGGTGGTTTTCCTAGGGTGAGGCTCACCCATTGCACTTGGGGTGTGTTGATCCCTACTATTTCCCCAAATGTGGGAAACTCGGCTGCATAACTCTTTTTAGTTGGGGACTGTGTTCGCGCTCTCCCCTGATCTTTCCTGTTTAAAAAGGCAGACAACTTCTTCCTACTGCTTTGTTTTTCTCTCTCTCTTAACTTCTATATCTATGTTCAGTCTTTCCAGGAAAACTTAAAGCCTCGGCCTCATATAAAATATGTTTAGGAGTTTAGTCCCTGGTGTAATGAGAACATTTCTTACAGTCTGGAGTTTTTGTCTTAAAGTCCAGGAGCAGGTCCACGGTGCATATTCTCCAATCTCACCCCAGGCCATCCTCGCCCCAGTCCATCCCTCTGCATAGTCTCCAATCCTACCTCCCTCTGCATAGTCTCCAATCCTACCCCGAGGCCACTCTTGCCCCTGTTGGTCCCTCTCTACTCCGCGTCAAGTTCTTCCATCTCACTCCAGTCCGGACTCCCTGAGCACTGGCACAGCCCTCGCCGCCTTTCTCACAATCGTCCAGACAAGTCTCAGGCACACACCTGGGGTGACCACCCCCTCGGGCGTCCCTGCTGGGGTCTGCAAAAAACCTGACCCTAAAGCTCACTTGGGCTTCTTCGCTGAGTCCTGATCGGCTGGGAAGGCGACTCTGCCAGTGTGGAGTCCAGGGAGGCCCCGACTCCCAGGTGTCCTCGGGGTCCAACCGTCCTGAAGGCGCCTGCATCCCTATGTTCTAGTTTTTTGGATGAGAGAGGGTACTCTGACAACTATTGAAAGAGAAAAACAGACATCAACCAACGCAGTCATAAAACCCTTGACCTACAAAATGTCCTGTCTACAAAATATGAAGGACAAAAAGAAGGTGGCAAAATCTTTGGGAATAGCCAACCAGTGTCTGAATTGACTTAAGGCCCACACTACAAGTAGGAACTCACACCAAACACTTGTTTGAGTAACTAAGAATCAGAGTAGATAGATAGATAGATAGATGATAGATAGATAGCCCAGTAGTATATAGCCCAAACCAAGGGTAAAACCTGAAAAAAAAAATTAGTATTTGGTTTTAACTTAGGTCTTTGGACTATCTGCTACTATATACCTATATCTATCCAGACATTGAACTTCAGTCTTCAGTCTTAATGGAAACACCTTTATCATTTTTTATCCAGCACAATATGAAAACATACACACATCGCATAGCATATATGTGGGCCTCATGGTAGTTTGGTGCCTGTGCAGTTCAGAAAAAGGAGGAGGATCCCCAGGATCTGGAGTTAAATAGGTGTGAGCCTCCATGTAGGTGATGGGAATCGAACCTGGGTCCTCTGCAAAAACAGTCAGTGCTCTTAACCAAAAACCTATCTCTTTAGCTGTTTACTGTGAAGGCTCTTTTCCCTCTGAGAAGCCCTGGCTATCCTGTAACTCACTATGCAGACCAGGCTGGCCTGGAACTTAAAGATCTGCCTGTCTCTGTCTCCTGAATGCTAGGATGAAAGATGTACATCCTGAGGACTCTGAAGAATATAAATGTTTTTACGGCAGTGAAGGGCAACTCTAAAATAGCTGAAAGTTTATTTGTATATTTATCACAATTGAAATAATTGTGTGTGGGACAGGGTCTTGCTATGTAGCCCAGGGTAGTATCAATTTCCTGCCCCTGCAGCCATCACATTTTGTGTGCTGGGCTGACCTGCCCGCACCTCCACAATCAGACTCATTTTTAAGGATCACCTGGGGTGTATGGTGAAACAAACATCACAAAGACAGAGTTGGCAATCATGGGGGCTGTGGGAACCCCATTTCTTCTGCAGGGTCTGAACACCCACTGAAAGGTAAAGTTTCAAATCATGACACACCAAGACCAAGTTCGTAGCACATAAGAGACTTATTTTCCCCAGAGGAACAGAGGGCAGGAAGTAAGAACGAGATATAGGAGATAGGGGATGAG